GCAGCGATCCCGCACACGGGGGAGCGGGCAGGAGGTGCGGTCCCGCACACGTGGGAGCGGGCAGGAGCTGTGATCCCGTGTCTCAGTGCTGACAGTATTTCGCTGATCTCTGGGTGAAGTCCCTGCAGGTCTAGGGACAACCATGGTGGCCACAGATCCTGGTCACAGCCCTGTCCTGTTAGTGGTGTCCTGGCCGGAAAGAGAGAGGTTTTATTTCTGGCTCTGGAGTTCTCTTTTCCACTTTCCCCCCAAAACCAGCTGGGTTGCTCTCACTTTTCTTGCCGAGTCCCCTGGGTTTTCCCCTGCGTATCCCCAGCACAGCATGTTTTCCCCTGCGTTTCCCCGGCACAGCGTTTCCCAGCCCGCAGCTCTGGCGAGTGGCAGCAGCGATGCCTCTGGCACCAGCACCACTACCTGCGCCCAGGGGAATTCCTGGGGTTCTTGTGGCACCACAAGAAATGGATGTGGCTGGATTTCCTTCCAGAAGGCAAACGTGTCCATGTGTCCTTGCTGGCAACCCAAGGAGCAGTAACGCCTGCCAAAGGTGGTCCTGGGGACAGAGGGGGCACAGCCAGCACTCGCCGGGCACTCACTGGTGTGGCAGTGAGCCCAGTGGACCCAATTTGGTGGCTGCTGGGGATGGAGCAGAGCCACAGCCCAATCCCCATGGTCCCCTTGGGGAGCCCTGGCACGCGATTGCAGGGTGGTTTGGGCCGTTGCATCACACGAGCAGCACGGAAGGAGCTGTGGGCAGGATCAAGAACTACCCACGCGAGTGGAGTGTGTGGGGCTGGAGAATGCCCTGACCTGGGGAGTGAGGGGTGGCCTGGGGACAGCAGGGAGCAGGTCCTGACCTGCAGCCCTGGGCAGGGGACACCCAGCAGAGCAGGAGAGGGACCTCCTGCAGCCTCCCCCCCTCCTGGCCTCGTGGTTCCCCTCTGATGATGGCCATTTCCTGCAGGTCCAGCCCAGCAAACCCCATCCCAGCTCCAGCAGCCCCGGGGGGACCAGTCCTTCCCATTGGAGCAGCCCCTGTGCTCCTGGGACTGGCAGAGCTCTGTCAGGCGAAGCCTTTCCCCTCGGAAGGGTCAGACCGGGCAGGGATTCACGCTGGGTTCCCTGCTGTCATCCCTGGCACAAAGCACTACCGGGACCAGCCCGCGTGTCGAGCGGTAGATGTGGTTTCAGCTGATCCTTGCCAAACACGGGAGTGTTTGCTCAGGGTTCGTGCTGTTTAAAGGGTTTTTCAGTTCAACTTTAAAATTTGCTCAAACCCAGAAGGAAGACTTTCTGGTTTTGCTTCCTCTCTGTGCTGCTCCTTATAAAATTTCATTTCTCCTCATGGAAGAGGTTCTGGTTCCTCAATGCACTTCCTGAATGTCTTAAATATGATTTTGAAACAGCCCCGCTGAGATGTGGTGTCAGGGACAGGAGGGTTTGGGGAGCTTCTCCTCCGTACCGAGCAAGACCTGGCAAAGTGCTGACAACAGGCAGCGGCAAGGTCATGGCACCGCCACGGCTGCAAGTGGGGATTTGGCCTTTCAACCAAAAAAGCTGCTTTTGGTTTATTTCGGGGCAAAATAAGCTCTGCCTGTGGGCTCCTGGCCCTGGGGCTGGATTGGGGCTGCACTGACGGGAGGATCACAGCCCATGGGTGCTGTCTGGGTGCTGGTGGGACACGGCTCTTTCCTGGGCAGTGTGTCCTGCTCTGGCAGGCACCATCAGAGAATCATGGAATGGTTTGGGTTGGAAGGGACCCCAAAACTCATCCAGTTCCAACCCCCCTGCCATCAGCAGGGACACCTTCCACTAGACCAGGTTGCTCAAAGCCTCATCCAACCTGGCCTTCAACACTTCCAGCGTCAGACCTGCTGGGTTGCTCTGTCCTTGTTTTCCTGCCCTGGGTCCAAGCACTGACGATGACTGTGGTGTGACTCTCCAAAGCTGTAGCCACGTGTGCAAGTCTGGTGGGTGTTCGCTGTGTGTCTGCCCTCAGCCTGCAAGTGCCTTCGTCTGAAACTCAGGGGAAGAAAGGCAGAGAGGAATGGAGAGCCCTGGTCTCTCCAGCCCTGATCCTCCCCGTGCTGGGTTCTTCCAGCACGGACACCCAGGGCTCCGCTCGCCCCATCCCTCGGGGTCTCCTGGGGCCGCAGGGCATGTGCTTGAGCAATGGCCCCGTTACACAAGCGCTTGGTTTGGGGATGTTGCCTCTGGCAACCAGGACTTCCCTGGATCCAGCACGGGATCTGCCTGCATCAGCTGCTGCGGGTTTCCTGTGCCCGCTCCTGCCGCTTCCCCAACGGGAAATGAAAGTAACTTAAATAATTCCTCTTCCTTTGCCTGGGGCTGGCAGGGAGGGTCCGACCAGGGGTGTCCCCCCTCACCCCTGCCTGTACCCAGCTCCAGCTGTCGGGAGCCTGAGAGCTGCGAAGTGTCAGGGCCACAGAAGTTTTGCCTTCGGGGCTTGTTCCCGGTGTGCTGGATGTCCCCTCCCATGCACGGTGACAGAGCCCCGGAGGTGCAGGGCACCCCACTGATTTAGTCACCCCCAGAGCTCCTTTGCCAGCCCTGCTGGGTGTGGGGGGCTCACATGGGGTTAGAAACCATAACTTGCTTTCGTTAACCCTCGCTGTGCCCCAAGGCTGCTCTGGTGACAGCTGGTGCCTTTGGTGGGTGCACCCATGGGACAGGGGTGGGGGGCAGCAGGGCTGGCAGACAGCTCGGGGGTGACCTGGGCTGTTCCCAGCCTTTGCTGGGGAAGGCAGAGCAGAGCAGAGCAGGCAGCAAGAACATGGCCCAGTCAGACACAACTGGCAGAGCTGAGCCCGTGCCTGCTGCGGGCAGCGACCGCATCTGCTGGACTGAGCCATTGCCTCCTGGCTTTTACGAGCCCTTCCCTGCCTGCAAGGAGAGGCTCCAGGTGTGCTGCTGGGTGCAGATGTGCCATGCCGTGCCATAGGTGCCACCCGTGCAGGTGTGCCACGCTGTGCCATA